CTAAGTGTGCCCTCAGGGACCCGGACGTGGTGCCCATGAGCACAGTGACCCCCAGGCCACTTGGACATCAGCAGGCCTGGCCTGGGCTTCGGGATGACCCTCCTTCTCCTGCCCCTGAGCTGTAAATGAAAAGGAAACAGAAGACCTGGGTGGAGGCGGACCCGAGAAAGGGGCGGGGAGAGCACGTCCAGGAACGGCCTCTGCTCCTTGCTCTCCCTGCCTCCTCCCTACTGTGCTTCGGGGGTCACCTGCTCCTGCGGACCCCAACCTGAAACAGATGGTCTCCTGACAGTGCAGCCCTCTCCTCCAGGATCCTTCTAAAAGGGACAGAGATGTGGCCACAGCAGTGAACCTGAGGTTTGTCACGCACACACTTGCCCACACAGCCCAGCCCCACAGAGCCCAAGGCCAGAAAGACAGATGGACCCAGAACTTACTGGGGCAGCAAGACCAGTCGGATCCCCACACACTGGGAACGCCCCTCATTCATCTCAGGATAAAATCAGCCCCACCCACCCACACCCCTGGCACCAGGGTCCAGAGGCAAAGCTGCATGTGCACACTGAGGCTCACTTACTGACAGCCGGAAACACGCAGGGGACCAGCGAGGTTGCTCTAGGGCCATCACGGCCACCATGATCAAGACGCTGCCCTCGTGTCAAGCTGAAACCCCACCCACCCATCCGTGTGGACAACAAGCCACCTTCGTGTTGCCCACTATTAAAAACATCCATTAGGGGGGTTTTCTTACTGCTCAGGAGACGTGAGCCACCCAGGAAATTAAAGTCTAGAATAATTCGTGAAGAACAAAAGACAGAGTCAGAATTAGTTTTAAAGGATGGAGCATCTGATAGGTCAAGTCCACACAGAGCTCCCATGGTTTATTTAAGGGGATACATCAAAGGCAGGGATCAGGGATCAGAGGTGGAGTCTTGCTCCGTGAGTCTTGCAGTCAGCAGGCTGATTGACATCTTGGCAGGTCACACCCGTCTCAGTAACCCTTTGTGTAAAATCCTCAGTACCAATAAATAAATAAATAAATAAATAAATAGGGCTGGGGGTGTGGCTCGGTGGCCAAGTGCCCTTGGGTTCAATCCCTGGTACAAATAAGTAAATAAATAAAGGTGCAAAGACCTGGGGTGGGGGGAAATCCACTTTAAAAGAACTTCATTTCTTCTTTTAACAGAATCTGATCCATGGTCTGACTTATGCGGAATTAGTTGAGATGATAAGCTAAATGGATGACTTGCCAAAGTAAAACCGACCCCAGATATGTGTTTACAGTCATGGCCCAAACGAATCCTTCACCCAGGCTCAGAGCTAGGAGGATGTTTGGACAGGGTCCCCCGGGGCCGCGCTGCCGCCCCCACCAGCAGTGCGCAGAGGCAGCGACAGTGTGTGAGGCCTGGCTCTCTCTGGGATCCTCCACCCTGTTCACTTCCATGGCTGCTGTGGCCTCCTGGAGGCCAGTCCAGCAGAGCCTCCCTCATGGTGGATCTCTGGCCTCCTCCTTCCTTCTTCCCAACGACCACCCGCTGGTCCAAAGTGGCATGAGGACTGTTACCTGATGCCAGTTGAGGCCTCAGTGTCCAGCCCCTAAGAGGCCACAAGCACCAGCACCCAGCAGCCAAGGCCAGAACCCAAGCTCAAAAGGGGAAGTCGGATGCACTGTTGTGCTGAGGTCAGAAAGAGCCAAAGATTTAAAACATTTCAATTGTTTCACTTAAAAATATTTAAGGCTGCCACAGGGTCAGAGTTCACCGCCTCTGCCTGCTGGGGAAACCTGGTGGCCCTTTCCCCGGCCACTTGGAATCAGAGCAACAGTTTCAAGTGCCTGGGTTTCTTTCTAAATAAAGGCAAACAACATGGAACCTCCATCAGGCATGGGAAGCCAAAGCAGCTCCCTAGCTTCTGTTTGACTCCATTTAGTGGAACACGCTTTAGGCAGCGTGAGAGGAGGGAGGAGATAAGCTACTGCTCCCAGAAACGCCCCCGAAACCTGACCCTGCTTTGAAAGAGGGCTGGGCGGGACAAGGCCAGCCTGCAGCTGGAGCCTCCTGGCCTGGCAAGGCCGCCGGCTGGGGCTGGCTTTCTCCTGTATGAGAAGGGAGAAGTAAATGACAATGCCACTCGGAACATCCATCCGTACACCCAGGCGCACAGTGGCCTTGACCTGGGCTTAGTGCCTGCAGAGCCCTGTTCCCCGGATGCCCTAGCATGTGAGAGGGCAAAGGGACGCCCCACATCACAGGCTGCGCACCAGAACTCTTCTGCATGCGGGTGGCAGCAGGAGGCCCCCCCAAGAGAGGCAGGCCTCTCTGTGAGGTCTGGGCTCCAGGTTGACCAGGTGCTGGGGCTGGGGCCCAGCAGGGTCAAGCGGATGCCTGTGCACCTAACCACCAGCCCGGAAGCCCACCTACAGCCTGGCTCCTCTCTGCTGCTCTCTGCCAGCGGGCCCCCTCTGCCCAAGTGTCCCCTGCTCAGAGAGGACTCGATCCCTTTTCTAAACCAATACCCCTTCCTCGCAGCTTCAATGTCCCACAGGCACCACATGTCCACTGGCCACTGGGCCCCACCAGAGGCCACCTCTCAGGGCAGGGACAGTGTCTGTCTCAGGGAGGAGCCCTCTGCACACTAGGTAGATGGGATGAGGGTGTGAGCAGGTGCATGCTGGGGGGTCAGGCAGTGTGGCCAGGCCCCTTCCTCCTTGTGGGCCTCTGAGCTCAGGTGATGGTCAGGCGTCCTCTAGCCCCAAAGGAGCTCACTGCTGTCAGGAGCCAGCCCCACCCACCCAGGAGGGGCACCTGCGGCCTGCTCCAGCCTGGTCTTCCCGGGAGCTGCACCGCCCTCCTCTGCACAGGAGGAAAACAGCACCACCAGGGAGCTGTGCACAGCAAGCCCAGGGAGGGGGCAGTGGCCACACAGGCACCCAGCACCCAGCTCTATCGGCACCATATCTCGGGCAGAGCCCAGATCTCAGAGCTGAGCCAAGGGCCCAATGGCAGCCCATCTCAGTCCACGCTTTACAGACTGGACCAGGCCAGGAGCTCCTGAGACGCCACCACTTCCAAGGACAAGGAAAATCCGGTAGAGCCACCTCTAGTAAAGCAGCAGCCCTTGAGTTTCCACATGAAAATGCACCTGGGAGAAAGCGTCTGCAGGGCAGGTGGGCCTCCAGCTCTGGAGCACCTAAGGGGCTGGCGGAGGACCCACTCCCTCTGCTCTGCCAGGAGGGGAGCAGCCAGGCTGCAGGACCACGGCTCCTTTAAAAGGTACAGGCTGCATGAGTCACCTTCCAAGGTGCTGTAGCCCCCGGGTGTTCCTGCCCAAGGCGCAGGGCACTGTGGCCGGGCCTGCAGCCAGCGCAGGAAGCTGCTCGGCCATCAGATGAAATCAGCCCTCGGGGAGTAGAGGTGGCTCCCTCCGTCACCCAGCTCCCGGCCACAGGGGCCATGTCTATGAAGAACCACCCGCCTGGGCCTGAGGACCAGGAGCCTCACAGGACGGTGCCTCTGTGCACGCGTAAGGAGCCAGCCTGCCAGGGTCGCCCTCCGCCCTCTGTGAGTCAGGAAGCAACTGGAGGAAGAGAACACCCAGGCACAGGGACAACGAGCGCTCGTCAGTCCTGGTCGCCTGCAGAAGTGTGGGTGTGAGAAATCAGCGTCCACCTTGCCTGAGACGGTGGTGCTGGGGTTTCTGTCACGCACAGCCCAGCCAAACACAGCCACCCTCCCCACCCGCCATCTCCCTGCTACAACAGCCTCTGCTGTGCCTGGGCGGCTCCACGTGGCCCTCCACACCACTGCCCACCTTCTCCCAGAATTCCAACATGACACTGCCCCTTGCTTTGAACCTCTGAGAAGCTTCCTGGTACTTCCTGATAAAGACAAAAGCCCCATCCTGGCCTGCAAGGATCTTGTTGTGCCCGGGTCAGCTTCTCAGGTGGGCCTGAGCCTCCC